ATATGAAAAAGGTGTTCCTCCAGCTCCACATTGTGCTGTCTGATTCTAGCATCGGCAGTTCTTACTATCTCTCAATGCTGAAGTAACACCTTTTTCATATACACTACAGCACAAGATAGAATTGTGCAATTTTTGTAATATTAAGAAGGTCCTCACCATAATTGTTCATGACCAATCCTTTTAATCGATAACTGGTAACTTGAACACTATAGTTATTCAGTATCTTTTGTCTATCTGTTTAACTCAACAAAAAAAAAAGCCATTAAACTTTAAACAGCTTTAACACTTCTCTGTATTACTGTTTTGAAAATACTAGCCAGCGAATGATCTATAAAACTATTGTACTACAAGTAAATAGAACATATTCTATGATTTAACAAAACTACTGTGGTTATTCCATCTCATAACAGGAACACCCATGGAAACAACAGTGGGCAAATGGAATAATGGAAACGAAAAAAAGCTTTGTAATTTCCTACATTTCTTCCTCCTCTAGATTGCATTTATAACAAACAGGATGCAACAATACTTGAGCTCTCCCCCTGCTGAAGAGAATTTGTGCTAAAGGACTCCATGGAAGCAACAGCCCTTAGATACTTAGTGTGATTGGCCATTTTTGAGTGGGAACTGGATTCTCAGGTAGATCAATTCCATAACTGACAAAGTTGCAGTCAAACTTTACTCTATCCACACTGGCACTCACAAACACTTCCAGCAGAGGCAAATAGAGAAGGAGCATGTGAAAATAGTCTTTTTTTCCAAGCTATGAAGCAAAAACATTGAGAATAACTGCAGCAGACTTCCTCCATTGCAGTTGAGGGGCAAAACTCAAGGCAGCTTGGAAACTGCAACTAAAATCATGTTACACATGCAGGAACTGTCAAAGTTACATTTGATCAAACAAATGAAAGTGCATTTGTATAAACACAAAAGCAGATAAATTTTTAGTAAATATAACTACCTACAGTGCAGGTTTGTGTCCAACTGAGAAAATATTTGGAAAGGCCAAGGTCAATATCACCAAAATATTCAAAACAGCAAAAGTTAATCTACAGAATGGACGAAGTAAATACATTTAAACAAAAACGAGCTGAGAATAAATCTTCTAATTAAGATTTATTAACACAACATAAACTTATGCTTATCATAAACTAATTCGAAGTAACTTATTCAAAATTATACAGTATTTCATTAACGCCGGAGAATTTTCATTTACTTTTTGTATCCTTTTCAACTGTCTTGAAATGTTACTTCAAGGCGGAGTAAATAGGATTAAAGGCTAAGAAAATAATCATCTTACATTTCAAAATATCATTTAAAACTGCAACTGCAAGCTATGCCAGAATTATAGAAATACAGTAAGCTCATGGCTTGACAGTTTGACAGATCTGGGCCACTAAAGGACAAGAGACCGCAGGTGATGTGGAAAAACTAAAGGTACTTGAGGCTATTCTCCTTAAAGCAGGGAAAGTTAAAGGGAAGTTATGACAGACAGAAAAATTATGAATGCTTTTTTGATGGAAAGACGGAAATGTTTTCCAACAGGTGGAGGGTAACTAAACGACACTGATTTCTGAGAACAGGCAAAGAACCACAGGAGAGGTGATTATTTTGTAAATAGATGGCTATAATCTAGAATGTACTGTTAATAAAAAAAACTGGAGAAAACAGATTTAACAGCAATTTCCAATAGGTCATGTACTTAGAGGAAAAAGTTGCAGTACCATAGGCAAAAAACAGGGAGTAGACAAACTGAACATTACTTTCTCATAACTGGCACAGGCAGGATGGGTTAAATGCCCCCTTTCTGGCCTGTAAGTAAAGCTTGAAATAATTTAAACATTCATGCACAGGTTACAACACAGAAATGTCTGAGCACGACGGTATCACCCGAAAAAAAGGTGAAATGTAATATTTTCCTTAATTTTAGTATAGTTTCTCTGATTAATTGGACAAATGCAAAATCGAATTGTTACAGGAATTTTGGAAACTGTGTTGGAGGATAAATCTAAGATTCTGTTCTCTCAATGACCAAGAGAGAAATACACACCATACCAGAAGTGACAATTCTAAATTATCTTGGCAAGCGTGTTTGTTCTATTTGGCTTCAGTGACCCTGTAATGGAAAAGGAGGGATAAAATCTAAGCCACAAGCATTTTATAGCTATCTAGCATGATTCTCAGCTGAGGTTAGAATCTGAAGCTGACTGTATGTCTCTTGACATTGTTCACAGTCAATAGAAATGTGTCTCAATAATGAGTCACAGATGGTACACGAAATGAGGTAGGTGTAGAAGAATTTTGAAAAGTAACTAAGGGTTTATTTCAATTATCTGTAAAACGTTTATAGTAAAGTCCTGCCATTCATGTTTTCATCATTTACAAATTTGCTTATCCACACAAAACACTGTGTACACAATTTCACTTGTAATGGATCCGTGTTCTTTGCTGGCTTCAGAAACAAAAAGAGAGAACCTTTGAGAAACCATCAAGAAATGAAAAAAAAAAACTTTGAAATGAATGTGTAAAATAAAAAACTAAAATGAGAAGATGTCTATGAAATATGGTACCCTCGGCTTGGGGGTTGGTTACCTCAATTAGCTAGACTGCTGGTTTGCAATGCAGAATGATGGCAACAGCATGGGGCCCGCACCAACAATGGTTACCACAAAGGACTCTTCTTAACCTCTTACCTTATCAGAGTTTGAGTGACCCTCAGGTTAAACCACTGCCAGTCGTCTTTTCAGGGTTATGGCAATTCCCTGGACTAGAACATGTGCATGGCTTGATCATGATCTGCATCTGGAGTGTTTGAAATGTGTGTTCTTGTTATGATCGCCACATTCTGGAGAACCTTATAATGAGGCAAGTGTGAGAAATTTTATGCATTTCTTATTTTACTAAGCGTTTTAGCTTACAGGACATTATATTCATTTAAACATTGCTGTTATTGATTCACATTTTCTACTATATATACACACACATATAAATAATGTATATAAATAAAATATTTTGGATGGTTGGAACCTAGACAATTGATTGTCCTTATAAAATATATTCACCATTTGTGAATTCATAACTTGAGGTTTTTCAAAAGCAATTCCTGCAAAAAGCAGGTCTTGACAGCATACTTGATTTATCTCAGTCTCAAGTGTATAGCATAAAACCTAGCGGTGAAAGCTTTAAAATTGAACAGCAGATAATTGGAGGTTAAATGATCACCTCATTATTTTGAAAAATACTGACAAGTACAATTTAAAGGTTTCAGTCGTAAAATGTATTTGAAGCAATAAATACTCAAAATTATATACAGATTATTTTATTATTTGTTCATGAGATGTAGGCATTGTTGGTTAAGCCAAAATAATTGACTATCCCTAATTTTCCTTGTGAAGCTGCTGATGAGCTGCCTTCTTGAACTGATGAAATCTTTGGGTAAAGGTATGTCCAGAGTGTTGAAGGGAGGTCTAGCAATTTGATCCATGGAGGAGCAACAATATAGTTTCAAATCAGGATGATGTGCAGCTTGGGGGAGATCTTCAGGTGGTCATGTGCCAATGCATCTGCTACACGTTTATCCTTCCATATGCCAGAAGTTGGAGGTTTGGAAGGTGCTGTTGGAAGAGCCATATCACAGTGCAACTTGCAGATAGTACACATTGCCACCACTGTGCAACAGTGGTGAGGGGATGAATGTTCAAAGTGCTGGACGGGGTGCCACTCAAGCAGACTGTCTTTCCTGGATGATATTGAGCTTCCTTGAGAGTTGTTGGAATGGCACCCACTCATGTGAATCACAATATTCCTGCCCTATGTCTTGTAGATGGTGGAAAGACTTTGGGGAGACAGGTAGCAAGCTACTTGCTTCAGAATTCTTGGTCTCCAACCTACCAATGTAGCCATAATATTTACAAGTCTGATACAATTCAATTCTTGTTCAATGGTAACCTCCAGGATGTTGACTGCAAGGGATTCAATGATGTCAAGGTCAGATATGGCCTTAATTTGGTACTTGTCTCTGTGGCACGAATGTTATCTGACAATTACCAGCCCACATCTGGGATGTTGTCCAACCTTGCAGACAGACAAAGGCTGCTTCATTATCTGAAGAATCATGAATGTAGCTGAACTTTTATAGCCATCAGTGAACATCCCCACTTGACCTTATGATGGGGAAGATCATTAATAAAGAGCTGAAATGGTTGGGCTGATGATGCTACCCCAAGAAACTTGTGGGACTGAGATGATTGATCTTCAATAACCACAACGATATTCCTTTGTACTAGGTATGGCTTCAGCCAGCAAAAGATTTTGCCCAATTGATTGATTTATTGTCACATGTACCAAAGTACAGTGATAAGCTTTGTTTAAGAGCAGTAGAGGCAGATTGTAGTAAGTAAACATGTTCCTTGAGGCCAGAATCAGTCAAATGCCATCATTCCATTTGCCTTCCCTATTAACCGCTGAACTTGGATGCTAGACTTGGTGATTCATGGATGAGGTCTCCCAAGTCTCTGTTCTGTAATTTTCTGCAATCTTTCTCCATTTAAATAATATTCAGCACTTTTCAATCCTGCCAAAGGACATAATCTCATTTTCTCACATTATAATCCAATTGCAAAGTTTTTGTCCACTTGCATAACTGATCTAAATCCCTCTGCAGGCTGTGTCATTCTTACCACATGCCTTCCCACTCATTTTTGTGTGATCCACAAACCTGGAAATAGCACATGGACTTTCTTCATACAAGTCATTTTCACACATTGCAATAATTATGGCCACAGCAGTGATCCCTGTGGCACTTCAACAGTTACAGGATGCCATGCTGAGAAAAGCCCCCCTTTATCCTTCCTATTAGTTAGCTCATTTAGCCATGCTTTCTTCAACACCATGGGATCTTCTCTCATTCAGTAGCCTAATATATGGTACCTATCAAACACCTTCTGAAAATCTAAACATATTACATCCTCTACTTCCTCTTTCTCTGCTACTTAACACGACCACCAGGGATTCTAGTAGATCTGTCAGGCATTATTTACCCTTCACAAAGTTATGCTGACTCTGCTTCACCATATTATGTAGCTCTAAATGCTCTATCATTACATCCATTTCTTCAAACAAACTTTGCCACCAGACCTTCCACTAATTCTTGCCCAGAACCTCACTATCTTAGATACACAATTGTGCACATATGTTGCATTCTTCTCTGTTCTGATTGAAAACATTAACTTTGTTTCTCACTCCTCAGATGCTGCCAGATGAGTACTTTCAACACACTGAGTTTTTGTTTTTTTTTGCCTCCTCGCTGGCAGCCTTCTGATTCACATTCTGCAGTAATTTATCTGGAGTACTGCATCCAGTGCTGGGTGTCGAACTTCTGGGAAAATATGATGGCCTTGAAGAAGATGCAGCACAGATTCGTAAGAACACGGGGTTAAATATACAAAATCATTTGCAAAAGGTGGCTTGCATTCCTTTGGCTTACAAAGTTGTGTGATTATGCATGTGAGGGGGTTATTAATCACAGGGTTTAAAATGAATAAAGGATTCAATCCTGTAGATGGAGAAATGATTTCCTTTGGTGAGGAAATCTGGAAAAACTAAACAATCTCAAAACTAGAGTTGGGCTACTGGAGAATGAAATTGGTAATTATGCTTTCCACAGAAAAGCTGATAGAAACCTAGAAATTTCTCAAATCAAGAGGCTGTGGATACCAGGTCTGAATTGTCGGTCAAGGATATCAAGGGATATGGTAAATTACAACTTCAGTTCAGCTACAGATCACAAATTAATTGAATCTTCACACAGACTTGATGGTCTGAATGACCTACTCCTGTTCCTGTAGAATGGGTACAAAACCATGCGCACTCAACCTCAGGGAATCCAGTTATTTACAATAACATTTGCAAACTGTGGACTCGTGCCATGTAATCAGATATCACAAATTAGATGCCACATATCAAACCTCCAGAATCACGTTAAAGCGGTGAAAACCTACGGCCATATGATGGAAAGGAAACCAGCCATCTGCGACCTGATTTTCTAGATGTTCTCTTGGCAAACAATCCGGTGTCTCTTCAGTAACTTGGTTGGAAACAGAAGTTGGGAGCTGCATATATCAAGCTGTCCCCTACCATAAACTCAACCCTGCAGTACCCAATCTGAATTGCCACAGCCAACAGTTGAATATTAGGACTAAATGTTACCCAATTTCCACACATCTATATCGTACTGGTACTTTAAACAAGACACTTGGCTAGTGATCGGTAAAGGAATCAGTGGCCCAATTTTCCTTCATTAGCCAGCCTTGATAATTCAGAGGAAATTAACTTCAAATAAATAATCTAAAGTAGACTGAAATAATCTCTCAAAGGTCAATAATCTTTTGATAAGTACACATTTAACATTACATGCATTAAGGAGGAACAAAAACCTTTCAACACCAAAAGCATTTATTTTGAATTTTGAGGTTTTTTTTTACATATAGTACATAGTACCAATTATACATGAATTCAACATATATTAACAGCCCATTTATTACAAGTATTCTCTCAAATACTGAAAGTATTCCTATTTTATAAACATTTCTACAGTGAATGTAAATACATGCTAAATGGTTTCATGAGAGGAGAATGCACAAAAGAGGAGAATATGGTTAATTTAAAGTATTAATAGGACAAGGAAAAGAAAAGAAGTGGGTGTGCTCTCCGTTTCAACAATACATACGTTAGTTTCAAACTAAAGAGAGTTCTTGCAGCTTTGTCAGATTTTCATCTATATTTATAACAGGGTCAACAAACAATGGGAAAACAGAAGTGTCACTTTCACAACAAACTGTACTTAAGTTGAATGAAAACAAAATTATCTGGAAGACCAAACATATGCTAATGTTATACCCAAATTGCAGCACCTGTGTATTTTCATGTTTATTCAAGCATTAAAAAGTCTTCCTGTCTTGACTCTATGTAAAATAGAAAATCTCTAAAAATGGACCTTCCATTTTTCAAAGATGCAGTAATGCACAAGATGTTATTTACTACTTTTACCAATACACAAATGTAGTTAATCTATTTCATATGCCAGTGGCATGAGGCCTGTTAAACAGATTCTGTGGTGGTCTATTGTTTGCATGGAAATAATATCAACCTTCGTTGATCTCAATAACATAGTCACAAAGAAACAATGGGTTTCAAGAAGCATCAAAATCTTTTCCAACAAGAGAGTATATTGTAAGTAGTATTTAGTTGAAGAACAATAAGGTTTAAGTGTTAGTAGAACAGATATATTGCTAGAGAATGAAACAGCATTATGATCGAGTAAAAGCTTGAACCTAAATTTAGAAAAACATAAAAGAGGTGTTAAACTTATATGGTGTATCTCAAACTCGAGTTTAAGATTTGAATACAGTGCTGGATTTCAAGCATTGTATATATAAAATTTAGTTATATATGCATAAAAACTTCAATAAGTAATTCACATCAAGTTAAGGAAAACAAAAATGGTTACTTTCAATGATCAATGCAGAACAAGACAAGAAAGTGCAGTGTTAGTTGAAATGAAAATCATTGGAGGATATAGAGTTGATTCACTTATTCTCAGCAACACAGAGGTCAAAAACGTGAACAAAAGACATCCTTGTATTCCTTTACAACCATGGAGACACATAAGCCTGAAGACAAGGCAGGAAAAAAAAACACGTGTGGTTCTTGAATCAGCAGACTGAGTTATTAGCAAAGACTGGGCCTTGTAGGATTGGAATAAGTTAACTGAGAGGGAATATAAGATGATTGGTATTGAATGGATAACAGCAGTACACTATTTTAAACTAAACCACGACAGTTAGATTTAAGGGTATTTACTCAAAGCAATAAAAAGCAATTTAACTGACATAACTGAACGGATTATTAGTTAGGGTTGCAAAAGTGTGAAATTGATCTAAAAAAAACTACAGAAGCGGTGACATTCAAACAGTAGGATCACTCTGGATGAATAAACTGAACGGCTTTCCTTGTACATATCGATCTTCCAAAATAATCAGAATTGTGAAGAACTAGAACCAGTATTTAGTAACAAAAGTCTAGGTGTCAGCATTGAATGCAAATGTCAAACAGTAAAAAAAAAAACACTTCCCTGACAGACATGTTGGAAAGCTATGTTTCCACAGAATTAAATTTTCTAGGTTCTGACAAATTTATAAACAAAGTTAGCTAAAAAGCCGTAAAATTTGTTATTTTCTCTCAAACTTTATTCACAACGGAAAATCCAATTACTACATTATGCTTAGTGTTACAAGTCCAGAACTGATTTTTTCCTCATTTAATTTTGGATGGCTACAAACAGCATTATTGAAAATAATTCCTAGTTAGCCATATGTTTTGTGCTGAAGATTTCCATCATATCTTCAGCAGCTGCCTTTTTAAATGAAACAGGATTAATTATTTCCCCTTTTTGTTTAAATTGTCCATCTCAGGATGAAATACTTCATATTCATGAAAATTCCAGAAAAAAATACTGCAGCACAAGCAATCCAATATAATGGCTTTACTGCTTCATCCTGGACCAGAAGGACGTTTGTCAGATTCCTCACCTCCCCCAGAAAATTCAAAGTAGTAACACACATGAAGATCATCTTGTTCCGGTTTTACTCACATTTTGAACACCAATTTTTAACTGCCAACAACTTAGCTGAAAGTGTCAAATGGTGTGTTTGCACATTTAAACTGTATGCTGGAGCTGTTAATAGGACCAGAAAGACCACACCGACGGCAAAAGGTAGTCACAAAATATGTTGCTCATGTTCATATGCAAAATTAGTTTTAAATCAATAGAAATTAGTATACTTACGAACACTTAGGCATTTATGACATAAACAAGAACAGAATCATACCCATATTTGACCACGTTTTATGAGGACTAAACGCAGTTTTTGAAGTATTAACACAATTAATTAGCTCATTTTACCACATCCTCAACAAAACAAAAAAAAGTGTTTCATGAAGTTTGATAATTATGGAGCATTTTGCATATGGAGCATTATGGAGCATGATGCTGTGTAGTCTATCTTACTTAAAATATACATTTAATCATACTTACTTCATTTTGTTTGTGATGCTTCTTTACTGGCTTCTACAAAGCACTGTATATTGCCCGAATAATATGTGCTTGAAACAATCCATGACCAACTCCAGCCAAAGAATAACAGAATCATTGAGTTTTGCAAGGTACATGTTAACAAGCAGGTTCTGATTAAAGTCTGAAGTGAACATTTGATAAAGGAATGCTCCAGATAAGCAAAGACAAGAAAATTAAAACTAGGAGCACTTCCTCTTTGCTTACCATCATTCCTATTAAAAGTATATTTCAAGAAACCTCTAGTTAATTCTTGCAATTTAAAATAAAATCACCGAGTTAACTGCCCTGATTACAGCCACTGCTTGCATACGACTTTTTTAAAAAATAAATTCATAGTAAACGGCACATTATAAAATAGCTTTTTATATCCTTTAAACACATTTTACAATATATTTTTGATAACACACAAATAGTAAGATCTTTAACACAAGAAGAACAGTGGCAAACTGCTTTTATAGCTGACGAAAATCCTTCTTATTCTTGTGACCACAATATTCAAAGTTTGATTAGTTGACTGAAACCAGATGCACACCTTAAGAAAGCACATTCACAAATAGGTGTAAAGTGAATAAGCTACTACGGAATCAAGACAAAGAGAGGGAAAGCAAAAAAAAAAAAAAGACAACTTCCAATTGAAGGCCAGCAATCTTTTCCACATTTGATCCAAAATTGTTCATTAGACATCACTAACTATAGAGCACAGAAACACACTTTGGATGTCCATATTGTATTACTCCAACACCTGATAAATAATGATAATTAAAAAACAGCGGCTTTGAAGATGTGGGCTTTATTATCCCAAAATGTTCCACCTTTTTGGAGAAAATTTCAAGTGCAAATAAAGTGAATGACATCTCTTTAAAATACACACTTCACATGCAATCCACATTTTCATAATGACAGGTGAACAGTTATGTAATCTTTTTTTAAAATCACTGTAATTCTGAAGTAAGTGTTTCAAAATGGGTGGCCTGAGGTGTACTTCATTAAACCTGATCCTCTGACTTCCTGCAAGAGGACTTTTTTTTGCTTCAGGATGTGCCGAGTGCCTACAGTTCTATTAGAAATTAATCACAAGTGCTGCCAGTCAATGCCAACTAGCGTCTGATTTGCTTCTTGTGCATGGCCAATCTCCTCAGTGATGCTATGTTGCTGCCACAGTTTCTGCAGCTTCCTGTACCGCTCTTTGCAGAGATGAAGGGGATTCCCTCGTCTGAAAAATGCAATTCAAGTAAGATTACCATTGTCAAGTATTTAGCTTTATACATTCACCTTCTTCACGTCAAGGAGAGAAAACATAATGCTCAAGAAATAAGCAGTCAGTCAGTAGTATCTGGGATTCAGTAAGGGATAAGCAAATTCATTCATGTTGAAGTTCGTGTAGAGGAAAAAGGTGGATTAATAACCATTTGACAAATTATTGAGAATTAGCCTTGAGAATCATGTTAAATATTGCAGAGATAAACTGCCAGAATGGGCAAGAATATTCACTAATTAGCTATAATTTGATGACTTGTAAGATTGCAGAAATGCTCAAAACAGGGCCACATGTATCAAAAAAAATCTTTTCTGGCATTAATGATCAAGAAACAGGTAGCCTAAATAGAATAAATCACACAGAATAACACCTGTACAAAAGATTACATGACAAATACATGCAGAGAATCTCTGGAACATTTAATAAAAAAATCTGAACTTGTGTATGTTCTTTCACTAAAAAGTGCAGCCCACGTTTGTATTAAAAAATGTTTTAACTTTTTACCTCAGTCCCTGATCTGTCTCTCCGTAATCATCAAGGTAGGGCGGTGGATAAAAGCACCCTTTTGTCTTTCCAGCCAGGAACAAAATCTGGCTCTCTCGAACTCTGAAAATGCACAACAACCATAACAATGTTAAAACTATACGCAATTTAGTTTATTTTTACAAAGCACTGTATTTGGGGATCAATTTCTCGCTCTTCTATTAATAAAGAATCAAATCATCAGATGCTCTTATAATTCAGCTCTCTGACCAAACATTACTGAAATGCTGCCTTTTGGAACACAGAGTTGAAAACTAGGATTATAGTGTCCTGAAGCAAAGGATTTCAGTGCTTCAATTCTGAATTAACTCCACATCACAATTACAATGATTCATACTTCAACATGATTATTACTTGTGGAACTGGTGAAGATGGAAGTGTCTCTTAGGGGTTACAACAATAAGATTAAGGTTTTAACTCACCGCAAAAAAATTCCAACTCCACAACCACAAGTGTAGGTATGAGCAGTACAGGCCCCAACATCTTCTCCTTCCAGTTCTGTTTGACAGCAGTAGCTCTGAGAACAAAGCATTCCCCCACAGACCAAGCAGAGTGTTGGTGCCCGACTTTTATCCCCACCTGATTTTGGACATCTATTTCAAATTGTAAAGAAAAGTAGTAAAAACTTTGGCACAGGTGTCAATTAAGTATAAACAGATGAAACTCACTTATTGAAACTTTGATGGGAAAGAATGTGAAATGTTATTTTCCCCTTGTAATGGGAGCTGTCTGCTAATTCAGCATCATTTTATGATGCGCTGGTGTGATAACAATTTTATTTGGAACAAGTTCTCACGTTACAGTTATTAGAGGGCTAAGTCTAAAACTATACGTGACATGTCAATGAATTCGTACACATCATCGCAGGACGTGATGCAACGTCACACTATGTTGTCTTTGCTTGCAGACTCGGAGAGAGATGAAGCCAGACATAAGATACTTCTTTTAAAAAAAGTTAGGCCTAGAAATTCCAGTCAGGGTCAGAAATCCTATTCACAACAACAAAAACAGTAGTTTCTGGAAAAGCTCAGCAGGTCTGGCAGCATCTGCGAAGAAAAATATCAGAGTTAGCTTTTCAGGTCCAGTGACCCTTTGTCAGAACAATTCTCAACCCTGGTTAGATTAAACATTCCTGGGCAGAAGCGTCCAGTTAGAACCAAGCCAGGAATCCTGAAATCCAGTAGTAGGGAAGGCTATTGTAGAAACCACTCCCTCTTTTACAGCATTAAGTGCTGTACTCTTCAGATTAAATGTCAAGCAAACACTGGCAGCTACTGTGAATGGGCAAGTATCTTAAGTAAGTGAAGGGGTTAGGGTGGCAGGTTGGTGAGGGGTTAGAAAGGCAGGGGAGTACAATGTAAGGAATCAGGGTCAGTCATGGAGTATGGTCTGGCAGAAAGATGCGTATTGGCTTGGATGATGGAGGGTGTTGGGGGGGGCAGTGCAAGGGATATGGGGTGGTGTTCAGTGCGCAGCCAGAAGTGCCAAGTGGATGATCTATTTTGGGTCCCTCCTGAAGTTCCCCCCATTACATAAATATCAAAAAATTGCTACAGATACTGGATACTGCAAAGGCTTGAACAACAAATCCACAATTATATTGAAGACTTGTGCTGCAGAACAAGCCAGGTCACAAGCCATGACGTTTTAGTTCAACTACAACAATGCCATCTAGCCAACATTGCAGAAAATGCCCCAAGTATCTGCAGTGCATAAGAAGTAGGTTAAATCTAACTTGCCTAATTATTGCCCCATCTGTCTACTCTCAGTCATTAGCAAAGTTTTGGAAGGATGTTATCATGCAGCACTTACAAAGGGATAACCTGCTCACTGATACTCAGTTGCATTCCAGCTTCTGACCTTATCACAGCCTTTGTCCAAACATAGGTAAAGAGCTAAACTCCAGATTGAGGTCAGAGTGACTGCCCTTCACACCAAGGCACCATGTGACCATCATTTAAGCAAAACTACAGTCAATGGTTATCAGAACAAAATCTTTGCTGGTTGTAGTTATACCTAGTAAAAAGAAAAATGGTTGGGGTTGTTGAAGGTCAATCATCTCAGTCCAATGACATCACTGCAGGAGTTTCTTACGATAGTGTCTGGATCCAACTACCTTCCTGTTTTATTAATGACCGTCCCCTGCCATCAGGTCAGAGGTAGGGATGCTAGCTGATGACTGTATGACGTACAGCACTTTTCACGACTCCGCAGGTTCTAAAGAAGTTCATGCCTAAATGCAGGAAGACCTGGATAACATCCAGACTGCAACGATAAATGGCAAGTAACATTTTTGCCTCACAAATACCAGGCAATGGCCATCTCCAACAAGACAGAAGCTAATCATTGACCCTTGACATCCAATGTCATTACCATCATTGAATCCCACAACCTCAACATCCTTGATGTCATCATTTAATATGGTCTGAAATAATCCCTTAGATCTAATGGAATGAGGAGACAGGTGATGGATATATTAATATATTGGTTGGGTTAGAATTGGTTGTGAATTGGTTTGAATATGCGAGCTAGTATTTGGTGGTGTGTGTTTTATGGAGCGTGGCCAATTGAAATAAAGTCCTCACGTAAAAGTGTGGGTACAAATTTTGTTAAAATGCTGTTCTCTTCTTTCGGAGTATAAAACTGGAAATTACAATTGTCCAGAAACTGAACTGGACCAGCTACGTAAATGCTGTGAGCACAAGAACAGGTCAGAAGCTAGGCATTCTGTAGCAAGTGACTCAGCTCCTATCTCCACAGTGCGTGTCCACAAATCATGAGCATGATGGAATAATCTCCACTTGCCAGACTCAGTGCAGGAACAACACACAAAAATCTGGACGCCATCCAGGACAAAGCAGCCTACATAATTAGCAGAGATAACAAGGTGTAGAGCTGGATGAACACAGCAGGCTAAGCAGCATCGTAGGAGCAGGAAGGCTGACATTTCGGGCCTAGACCCTTCATCAGAAATAATTAGCACCCCATTCATAATCTTCAACATTCACTTGTATCACCACAGGGCAGATGTACTGCAGCAACTCACCAAGGCTGCTGCTTTGACAGCACCTACCAAACAAGTGACCTCTATGACTTAGAAGTACAAGGCAACAGATGCATCACAGCATCATAACCTGCATTTCCTCTCTTAGTCCCACACTATCCCTGACCTGGATGTCCTTACATCCCAAGGACTGCATTCATTCAAGAAGGCAGTTCACCATACCTTCCCCAGTGTAGTGAGAAATGGGCAATAAATGCTGGCGGAGCCATAGATTTCCACATCCCATGAATGTATTAAGAAGAATGCTCTTTGATGCTCAACAACACGTACTTTCACTTTATTTCTGGAATTCAGTTAATTATACGAAGCTAACTAATTCTAGTAGGATTGAAACTCCACATTGAGCAATGGGTTATGTGTAAGCAATTATTGCTCAACAATGCTTTAAATTAGCCCTTCCATTGCTGATGGGTAATAATCATAGGTAGAAATGGCCAAATTCAGTTTTTTTGGACAAGGAATCATGGCCCAAACCTTCCAACAGCAAGATCATTATTGCAGCCAAGTAGACAGGAGCTGTGCATTAATACCATCCAGAAATCCTGGCCCAGCCAGCTCTATGGCAATTAATGGAAGCTGAAAACATCTACTGGAACCCTCCAAACAAATGTACCAACTCTGATTTAGAGTTGGAGATGTGTAATGGCTCTGTCTGATTTAGCTCAAGAGATTCCAGGGAAAAGTTCAAGGAATGAATACGTATTCCCCTCATTATTAAGTTGATCCTCCTGACTCTTACCTCACCACTTCCCAACCCTTCACAAATGCCTGACACCTAACCTGGACCTCACCACCAACCCCACCACTGACCAGACTTTGATCTGACACTGCCTCTACACCCAAGATGCTCATGCCCACTCACTTCACCCATGTCTCAAGGGCAACCAAATGTTCACAACCCAACCAACACCCTCAACTCTCCATGACCTATCCTAAACGTGCAAATTTTCCTGCGGTAAATCAGGTAGTGGAGCAGCTATGGCACTCAAATTTGGTACAAACTTGTGATAGAAACCATACATGGACAAAAACCTCTTCATTTCCCGATGAGGTTTAGTGGCAGGGAACTCTACTAATGCTTGCCCTTTTCTGATCTTGGCAACATTTGTCTGTGCCCTTTTATATGCCCTACATCAACTACACTCACCCTTGCAAGGTTTTGGCAAGATTTATTACCCAAAGAATGGACCGAAATTTCCTAAGCACAGCGCCAAACTGTTCAAAGCAGTCCTCCCAAGTTATTGAAGTATCTGGTTGAATCATCAAGCTTAGGCAAAAACATCACTGGAAAATTCTAACTACTTCGATTTGGTAAAGAGAGGTGTTTTTCCCATCACATACTGAACTTCTGCTTTCAACTATGAAGGCTTCTCTGAATGCAAGAGATGCAACACTGCTAGCTAACCAGACAGGATGTCACGCAATCTGAGAATTCTGTAGCCTCCTTCTGTTTCATTTTCACTATCCCTTTTATTCTCCTTCTTTGCTACCTGACACATCCAAACTTGCCTACTCGCATCCCGGTGATGATATTGTTTCAACGTACTGATTTGACAGTCCTATGATTTAATTGGTGATCTGTGGTGTCAATCAGATCATTTAGTTCACCACTTATTTTGACTACTCAATATGGATCATGCACCATACTTTCACCTTGTAAACGCAGTAATACTGATATCTAAATCCCTGGTTGAAATGTTTGGGATTTGGCATGTTTATCTACCCAGATTTCTTGAGCTACTTTGCATGTTCCTGTAAGCCATTCTCAGGATACAGATAGGACAAATTTTCCATATTAGACTTTGTCCTTAATGGTTTTCTTTGATTAATTTCAGAGACCTCTTAACTCATCTCCATAGACTTAAAAAATGATTAAAACCAGTCGACTCATGAGGGGGCTCTCATTTAGCGCACAGAAAAAATTCCAGTCATTGCCTCAATCACAAAGATATTCTGGCCGGTAAAAATGTCAACTTCTAGATCATCTCAAAAGTCTCAGTAACTACCAAAGGTATTTTCACATAATGAGGTGCAGTACACCTGGTCCTTCCTATTATTGTTTTGTGTTAGGCATCATGAGTGAGCTGTCATTTGTATGTTACAAGATGGGAGGGGCGCACTCTTGCTCCATGGGTCACAATGTGAAATATAAATTACGTAACCAGATCCTGGTATGGACAATCTTATGCCATCACTATATTATATTTTGAATGAAATGATCCATTAACCAGGTGTCTTCAATAAATATAAAATTAGCAATTTGTTATAAAACAACACCCATTCAATGGGAATGCAGAATTAATGAACACTATTTGCGAAATGAAATTATGAATGTTAGTTATAAATATAAATGATAAAATGTTAAATATACATGTGAACAATAAATAATACAAAGGCATACGCTTCAAGTAAAGGGAAAAGGAAAAGATTTCTCTCTGGAGTGATTCACTTAAAAAGCACTTTCTGGCCTAATGGCATTTATTCTTAAGGTAAGAAAGTAAAGTGTAGAATTTTTCAGTCTGTCATCCTAAATTCTTGTACATACAGTCAAGTCTTTAAAATTGCACCATTTCTCTCGGGTCCTGGTAGATCCCACTTGTTCAGAAAATCCAAAACTGTTAAGTTCTTACAGTCACTCTTCACTCTTCCAGAATCACAACCAGTTTTTACCCTCTTCTCACAGCAAAGGTGCCTCTAAAACAGTAGTTAAAAGCTGAGCATCTTCTTCTGTAGCAGGCTTTCCCCTAACTGAAAATCCAAATAAATATTTCAAGCCTGCAGGCACTATCCAAACAGGATAGCAATGAAATAATTAAAATAGTCATACGCTTTCCCTCATGCGAGTTTAAACAACAAAGACCAGCAAAATAACTAGTGTGGTTTTCTATAAATGCTTTGTTTAAAAGTATGTTCCAAGGTGACTTTTCACTGAGCTTTTAAAAATGATCCCAGAATCTCCAAAAATTCAAGACACAGAAATAATAAACTATAACGCCTCTTCATAACAACAAACATTTAATCTACATGTATTATGATACAGTGCATCATCCATTACCAAAGCAGGAATCAATTTTCAATGACTGTTTATTTATATTTCATAGTTCAATACAAACTGCAGTCTGCTCTCTCCCCTTCTAAACTAATGGCTTCTACAATGATGGGGACCTCAGGTGTAAGCTGAAATAATTTATCAATTTGACACTTCTGGCTGAAAAGAGGTGAAAACAGGAGACAGCAGCACCCAGCCCTGCCGAGTCTTCACCATCCCCCCAGACCTACCCCTTACTGAGGACGAACGGTCTGTCCTCAGTAAAGGGCTCACCTTTGTCCCCCTCCACCCACACATCAACGAATACCGCTCACGCTTGGACATAGCAGTTTTTCCGCCGCCTCCACCTCCACGCTTACTTCTTTAACCGTGAACCTAACCCTCCCTCTACTGACCCCTTCTCCCGCTTCCAACACACCCCCTCCTCCTGGACACCACCCTAAGGCCTCCTACCCTCCCTCGACCTCTTCATCTCCAACTGCCGTCGAGACATCAATCGCCTCAACCTCTCCACCCCTCTCACCCACTCCAACCTCTCCCCCGCAGAACGTGCAGCCCTTCGATCCCTCCGCTCCAATCCCAACCTCACCATAAAACCCGCGGACAAGGGAGGCGCAGTTGTAGTATGGCGCACCGACCTCTACATCGCCGAGGCCGGACGCCAACTCTCCAACACCTCCTCCTACCGCCCCCCTGATCATGACCCCACCCCTGAGCACCAAACCATCATCTCGCAAACCATCCACAACCTCATCACCTCAGGTGACCTCCCACCCACGGCCTCCAACCTCATCGTTCCCCAACCTCGCACTGCCCGCTTCTATCTCCTTCCCAAAATCCACAAACCTGAATGCCCTGGTCGACCCATTGTCTCCGCCTGCTCCTGCCCCACCGAACTGATCTCCAACTATCTCGACTCCATTTTCTCCCCCTTGGTCCAGGAACTCCCTACCTATGTCCGTGACACCACCCACGCCCTCCACCTCCTCCAGAACTTCCAATTCCCCGGTCCCCAACACCTCATCTTTACCATGGACGTCCAGTCCCTCTACACCTGCATTCCCCATGCAGATGGCCTTAAGGCCCTCCGCTTCTTCCTGTCCCGCAGGCCCGACCAGTCCCCCTCCACTGACACCCTCATCCGCTTAGCCGAACTCGTCCTCACACTCAACAACTTCTCTTTCAATTCCTCCCACTTCCTACAGACAAAGGGGGTAGCCATGGGTACCCGCATGGGCCCAAGCTACGCCTGCCTCTTTGTAGGTTACGTGGAACAGTCCCTTTTCCGTACCTACACCGGCCCTAAACCCCACCTCTTCCTCCGTTACATTGATGACTGTATCGGCGCCGCCTCGTGCTCCCACGAGGAGCTCGAACAGTTCATCCACTTCACTAACACCTTCCACCACAACCTTAAGTTTACCTGGACCATCTCTAACACCACTCTCCCCTTCCTGGGCCTCTCTGTCTCCATATCGGGCAACCACCTAGAAACCGATATTCATTTCAAGCCCACCGACTCCCACAGCTACCTAGAATACTCCTCCTCCCACCCACCTTCCTGCAAAAATGCTATCCCCTATTCCCAATTCCTTCGCCTCCGCCGCATCTGCTCCCAGGATGAGGCATTCCATTCCCGTACATCTCAGTTGTCCTCGTTTTTCAAGGACCGTAACTTCCCCTCGGTGGTCGAGAACACCCTCAACCATGTCTCCCACATCTCCCGCACCTCATCCCTCACACCCCGTCCACGCAATAAGAACCAAAAAAGAATCCCCCTCGTCCTCACGTACCACCCCACCAACCTCCGGATCCAACGCATCATCCTCCGACACTTCCGCCATCTGCAATCCGACCCCACCACCAAAGACATCTTTCCCTCCCCACCCTTATCTGCTTTCCGGAGGGACAACTCTCTCCGTGACTCCCTTGTCCGCTCCACACTCCCCTCCAGCTCCACCACACCCGGCACTTTTCCCTGCAACCGCAGGAAGTGCTACACCTGCCCCCATACCTCCTCCCTCACCCCCATCCCAGGCCCCAAGAAGACTTTCCACATCAAGCAGATGTTCACCTGCACATCTGCCAATGTGGTATACTGCATCCGCTGTACCCGGTGTGGCTTCCTCTACATCGGGGAAACCAAGCGGAGACTCGGGGACCGCTTTGCAGAACACCTACGCTCGGTTCGCAACAAACAACTGCACCTCCCAGTCGCGAACCATTTCAACTCCCCCTCCCATTCCTCAGACGACATGTCCATCCTGGGCCTCCTGCAGTGCCACAACGATGCCACCCGAAGGTTGCAGGAACAGCAACTCATATTCCGCTTGGGAACCCTGCAGCCCAATGGTATCAATGTGGATTTCACAAGTTTCAAAATCTCCCCTCCCCCTACCGCATCCCAAAACCAGTCCAGCTCGTCCCTGCCTCCCTAACCTGTTCTTCCTCCCACCTATCCCCTCCTCCCACCTCAAGCCGCACCTCCATCTCCTACCGACCAACCTCATCCCGCCCCCTTGACCTGTCCGTCCTCCCTGGACTGACCTATCCCCTTCCTAACTCCCTACCTACACTCACCTTTACTGGCTCCATCCCCGCCTCTTCGACCTGTTTGTTTCCTCTCCACCTATCCTCTCCTCTATCCCTCTTCTATCCGCCTCCCACTCTCTCCCTATTTATTTCAAAACCCCCTTCCCCTCCCCCTTTTCTGATGAAGGGTCTAGGCCCGAAACGTCAGCCTCTCTGCTCCTATGATGCTGCTTGGCCTGCTGTGTTCATCCAGCCCTGCACCTTGTTGTCTCGGATTCTCCAGCATCTGCAGTTCCTACTATCTCTAAAACATTTGAGCCTGCTGTTTTGTTTTTTTTTTTTTTTTAAAATCACGTGCTATGCTCTGTCAATATTGAGTCTGGGAAAGTTCACGATGCCTCCTCCGGTAGTTGGTTGTCCATGACTGAATGTGGCAAGATTGCAAAACTTTGATCTCATTTGTTGGTTGAGGAATTACTCAGCTCTGTCCATAACATGCTGCTTCTGCTGTGAACATACACGGTGTCCTGTGCTGTAGTTTCACCAGGTTGACATGTCTCATTTAGATACACCTGGTGCTATCCCAGGCATGGGCAGAGATGAGCAAATTAAGCCTCAACTTTATAAGGTGCATGCAGCCACAAGAAAATCTCTCTGTTCTTATGGTTCAGAAGTTGAAGTATGGAGACAACTACTTTTCTTCAATCTTGTTCACAAACATCACTATAATAAGCTCCATGATTTTCAGTGTAATTAAATCAAATTTCAGCAGCTCACGATTCAGTTTGCAACAGATCACTGTTAGATCCAAATACAAAGATATTTGTATACTCACGTAAAACAGGATGTTCGGTTTATGAGGCAACTGTAATCATCAGGAAGTTCAATTAACTTGTTTGGCTCCCTAGGATAGCTGGAACAGGGGTAAGCAGAAGGTAAAAGAAACTTAAAGAGTAATAATATTTATTTGCCAATTTTATTCTATCTGATCACAAAACCACAAGGTAGAAGCCTACCTAATCGCCGTTCTCTCCCCTTTCACAAAGCTCTGCACTTCTGCAACACCACACCATCTACAATTTTAAGATTTTATTTTACAGGCATGTTAGTTTCCAACAATCACCATATTAATATACACAAAAAATCTGTGATTGCATAACAATGAATTGACTGTAAAATTTAACCATTTTCTAATGCTGAAAAACAACTAACTCATCTTCAAAAGAGAAAGCAGATAACATTTTGAAAAAAAATTTTCATGTGTTACTTGTAAAATATCATAACTAATAACTAAACTCATGTTGAAGTTTCATGGTGGCATATGTTCTTCAGTTAAGGAAAGACCAATCATATAACATTTATTTCTGGATCGCAAAACAGATTATTTATTCAACATGAAAGTATTTGTTGTTCATAAATTTTACCTTTGTATCAATGGGTCAATTGTATCATTCTCAGTTTTGAAAAGACTCATTAGATTTGTTGGGAGGGAAAGATAGCGGCATAACAGTTCAAAGTGGTGTGGTCCATTCTCTGAAATTGAATAGAATCAGGTTCACTGTCAAAGTCCTCTAAGCATATACATCTCAAATACAATACAAACATCGCGTATCATAAAAGCTTCCACTATTTTGAGAAGTTTCTCACCAAGTACTGGAAAAAATAGGATGATTATGGCTTTGGTACAAATAATCAAGTTGCATAAATTACACTAAAGGATTAAATGTCTTCTGTATTTGAGTTAGCTGTGTTTTTATTTTGCAGTAAAGGATTAAAAAAAGAGAATATGGATATTTGGATTTTGGAGTTTTAGACTTTGAGAAATATTTTGCAGTGCTTATCAGAGAAAAGGTGAAAAATGTGTTTTAATACATGGAAGAAAGGCTTGATCTCAAAGTGAGGAAGTTGGAGCAAACTACTCCAAGATGTAATTCGTATTTGGAAAAAAATTACCTTGCAGTTCAACTGGGGCTGGAACGTTATTGAGATAATGAAAGAACAAGGCAGAACATCGTAGATAGGGTATTATACCAGTCTTGATATATTGCCACAGGTGCCAACCTGAGGTCATTGAATTCAAGGCACTATAGGGAGATAAAAAAAATAGAACTGTCAACTCTTTGAGAAGTCTCAAAAAAATGCACTTTGACTGAACAGTTTAGTAACATACAACATTGTGCTCACGATGTAATCAAATCTCAACTCCAGCTCATCTACTGACAGCCATTTTTATTGCAATGACCCAGTCCAGTTTCAATACATTCAAGGAGCTTGTGTTAGCTTCATTTATACTGAAACCTATTTGAAAGAAGCTTGCCTCACCAAATGTGCTTAGAAAAATCAACTATGGCTCAAACCAACAAGAGGACATTACTATTTATAAACAATTTGATACAAATTCCATTGGTTGATGTGTTTTGTTACATTTTCCATGTTCCACATACAACTCTGCCCTTTCAAATCAGGCCCAAATAAGGATCCTTCATAATGAGTTCGTGCTGTATACAGTGGCAGAACATTGTGGCAAGATGGGCGGCACAGTGGCTCAGCAGTTAGCACTGCTGCCTCATAGCGCCAGAGACCCAGGTTTCATTCCAGCCCTGGGCAATTATCTGTGTGGAGTTTGCATATTTTCCCGTGTCTGCGTGAGTTTCCTCCCACAGACCAGAGACATGCAGGTTAGGTGGATTGGCCATGCTAAATTGCCCATAGTATCCAGGGATGTGCAGGCTAGGTGGATTAGTCATGGGAAATACAGGGTTACAGGGATAGGGTAGGGAAGCGGGTCTGGGTGGGATGCTCTTTGGAGGGTCGGTGTGGACTCCATGGTTCAAATGGCCTGCTTCCACGCTGCAGGGTTTCTCTTACTCTATGATAGAACGATGCCGAAATTGGAAGAAGATACCAAATGGGACCTGTTATGACTTGGGACCAGTAAAGGCTTTTTTGAAATTGAGAAAATGCAGACAATAAAGCCACAAGATGCCATGAAATAATGAACTTCAATACACAACGTCAGAACTATAATACAATCTATAAGACAAAGAAAATTACATTCTAACATCGAGAATTAACATGAGATAAACATGGGTTAGAAAAAGTGATCAAATACTCAACAGAACACATCAAAATAACAAATAATCAAGACAGACACCAGAAATTTCTCAGCAACCTTCTCCAGGCATTAACAAGAGTTGTGATCATCAAACCTCATTGTATTTCACAAGGGATTACAATTCTTCACTTCGATGATCTGGCCTTGAAACTCCCTCAAGAGCCACTCCATCATGGATGGCCTCAACACCTGTACAAATCCTAGTTGATCACCTGCCTTTCCTGGGACCACACTGCCCTGAATTCTGGAAACTCTACTTGTATTTATTCAGACTCAACTGCAAATTTTCACCAGGCTAGTTATGCCTCAGGGTTTTCCAGAGTTCCAATCTTGCTCGGTTGGATCAAGTTGCCTCTGTCACACATTGCCTTAGCAGTGGGTCCAGCTACCTATTGGGCTTTGAACATCTCTTCCTTAACCTTTGACTGCTTGTAATGGCCTACTAAAAACCTTCCAATAACACACCCAACCCATCGCTTGTTCTTATTTGGACTCCAAAAGTAAACTGCATCCTAAGCTAGCTGGCCACATGGAAATCCTGTCTACAATAAACAGGACAATTAAAACCGAGCCATTTACTTTCATAACAGTCTACTCTTCATTATCAAAGAGTTAGAAGAGATCATCAACAATGCTGTCAAGTGACACTTGCTCAGCAATACCTACTCCCTGATGTTTCGTTTGGTTTCTGCCAGAGCTGCCAGTGTTAGTTCAAATGTGGACAAAAGAAGTGAAATCCAGAGTTGAGTTCAGAGTGACTGTGTTTGACATAAAGGCAGCATTTGACCAAGTGTGGCACCATGGAGCCTGAACGAAACTGAAGTCAATGAGAGTCAATGGAAAAACACTCTGCTGGTCAGAAGGATAGCTGGCACAAGGGAAGACAATTATGATTATTGGCAACCAATCGTCTCTATCACCGGATAGCACTACAGAAGCTCCTAAGGGTAGCATACTCGGCCCAACAATCTATAGCTCCGATATCAATGACCTTTCCCCCATCATAAAAGTTAAAGTATTCACTGATGATTGGATAAAGCGCAGCACCAATTGCAACTCTTCAGATACTGAAGAGTGGGCAAGGTGATTAGTGGCAATTAACATTCATGTCAAAGTAGTGCTGGGCAATGGCCATCGCCAACGAGAGAATTTAACAACAGTGTGGAGCTAGAGGAACACAGCAGGCCAGGCAGCATCGGAGGAGCAGGAAAGCTGATGTTTTGGGTCA